GCGCAGAGGACCATGGGGAAAGGGAGGGAATATTGAATGGGAAGAAATCAGAGAGGGAGACAAACCATGGGAGACTCTGGATTCTGGGAAACAAACTGAGGGTTACAGAAGGGAGGGGGTGGGGTAACTAGGTGATAGGTATTAAAGAGGGCACATGTTGGGATGAGCACTGGGTGTTATACACAAATAATGAATCATTGAGCACTACTTCAAAAACTAATGATGTACTATATGCTGGCTAACTGAACATAATAATTAAAAAAATAAGTAATATTTCAGAAATAAAAAGATTGACAGTTGATGTTTTATTTTAAAAAGTAAAGAATGAATTTTCATATTCAGGGAAATGAAAATTAAAACTGAAATATGATCAAAACATACACCTCTCTAGGCAAAAATTTAAAAGTTTGGATTGTACCACAACGTTGGTGAGAAAATGGGGCAATGGGATCTCTCTCATCTGTTATGAAATACATGTGACCCTATTAGAAAAGGGTCTATGACCCTAGGTATATACCCTAGAAAAATTCTTGATATTAGCTCAAGTATACATCAACAGTAGAAGAGATAAATACATAGAGATTCTTTGATCTAGCTGAGTACCATATAACAATGGAAACAAATCAAAACCACATGGAACAAGGTGGATAAATCTGAAAACAATAAGTGAAAGATACATGGCTCAAAAACTACATATAATTCCACTTAGGTAGATATTAAAAAAGGAAACCTAAGCTCTATATTGCTAATGAATACATAGATATCCTTTGATAGTGAAATGGGAAAAGGTAAAGTGGGGAAAAGAAAAGCTACAGAACACTTTTCTCCAAAGATTACCTCTTTTGTAGGGGAAAAGAGATCTAAAGTGGCACATGGGCAGATCCTATGATACTGGCAATATTTTATTGCTAAACTTATTGTTTAATAAGAGTGCCTGTTCTAATACTATTCTTTAATTTGTATATTTATTATTATGTTTTTCATGTATTATATAATTCACTGCACAAATCCCAAATAAAATGTCAGAGCATGTTATTCCTTTGACGGAACCCTTCAGTGCTTTCCATCTCACTTGGAATACAAATTATGTTGGCTAGTGATTATCTTCCTTATTGAAAATCTAGTTTCACTTTTTCTTTTTTTTTTCATTCTTTAAGTCTGAGACTGTTCTATACATAATAGGTTTGACTTTTAGTAGTTTCTGCTAAGCCAGGTTCCAAATCTGCAGTTGTATTTTATTTTCCTTGTGACCTGACTTTATCTCCTTCATCTCCTTGACTTCTTCTTTTGTAACCTTTAACTTGGTCCTTGTTACCTACTCATTTTATTCTATCTTCTTCTTATGATTTTTTTGGTCCTTTTCTACCTCTTCTTATATTCTATTGTGAATGCAAATCGGTTTTGTGATATTTTTCTTCTGGATCCTATACAGTCCTCTACTTTAGTAATAGTGTTAAAAATAGTAACTCTCATAGCAATAAAATAATACTTGTACTTATTTTTACTTGAACACTTTTTATCTTCAAACCACTATGTTATATTAAACACATCACATCCACTTTTTATTAATTTTTAAAAATATCATTATATTATATTTTATTATATTCACTCTAGTGATGAATAATATGAACTCTAGGAAAGTTGAATAAAAACTTCCATAGTGGTGGAAGGCTGTCATACAGATACCTGACTTTGGAATCTCTGCTCCTAAATTGTCTTTACTGCCACTCTGTTTAAATTATGTTTGAATTGAACTTCTAAAAATCCAATAATAGATCTACCTGTTACTAAAAGAGCTTCAGTTCTAATAAAGCTAAATATATAAGATCCCTTTGTGCCCCCTTTATTTCTACTTGTATATGGAATTTTTAGACTCTGTCTAGAGGCTGAATACAGTTGGATTTTGGTCTCAGGGAGAGAAAACTGTGAGATAATTATTATTCTTCCTTACTTATTGAGTTACTTACACCTGAATAATAGAGATGTCATTCTTGTTATGTAGTTGGTACACTCTCTGAGTCATGAGCTAGATGGTAAAGTGTGTGGAGGTTTGTAGCTCTTTGTAGACCAAGAAGATATTTCATGAAGCCAAACCATGTTTTGAAGTATGAGTAGATTTTTCTCAATCGACTTCCATCTAGTTTACAGTTAGTTCACCAGTTACTAGATTCTAGTATAAGTTTATCATCAGTGGTAAGATTGCTAACTTCCTCTAAAGGGCTATTTGGCATTGTAATAAAAATTTTAGAGACAGTGCTTAAGCACTTTGAACATTGCTTTGCTCTGTATGTATATTATATATGTGAAGATGCTGTCTTTCCAACTAGATCATCAGCAACTTCAGAGTATGGTTCTGATTTCCATTTCTCTTGATTCCAGTGAGTAAATAGTTCACTAATTTGCATTAAGTAAGCATTGAGTAATATCCTAGGGGGAAAATTCTTTCTCTTTCTTCTATTTTTAATTTCTCTGAAATATTAAAGATGAATGCAGAATGTAGAATGAATATAGAAAATATTCCTTACCTTTCTGGGTATTAGTGGAATAGGTGAGAGGAAGAAAATGTTCAAAGGAAAAGTTCTATGTAAACTATTTACAAAACTATGTATTTAGCAAACATAATAATCAGAATGCCCAATCTGAAATAAGTTAAGTCTAATATATGTTAAATGACAATGGCTGGGGAAATAAAATATTTGAAAATTTGCATTATCCATATTACTCAATAATATTCATGTCATATTTTTCAGCCTGCATGTTTGCTATTTTTTTAAAAAAATATGTTTAATCAAGTTTGGGAAATATTAAAAAAACATTGTTTTTCAAATTGGTACTGCTTTCAATGTTGATGAAATGCTACTTAATGCAATTTTCAAATAAATAAGAAGCACAAAATTGTGAATTGATCATATCACAGTCTGTCCTCGCTTCTCAGATATTTACCAGTGATACTTCATAGGAAGAATCACATTTAAAAAGCTTATTGTTTTGGAAGAGTTCATCTGAAAAATTGCAGACTCTGTGGCCTATTTATAGGTGATGTGGGTGATGATAACTATTTGCCAGTGTTAATGGAAAGATAGTAGTTATTTGATGTTTTGCCAGCTTTTAAGTCATACTGGAAAAATTTACAAGAATCAATGGATTCTTTTAAAATGGAAATATTGGAGGCTTATGTATGAGTAAGATGATCAAACCTCTTGGAAATTAAGAATTTTACAAATTCTCAATTTTTTTTGTGTGTATGTGTGTGTGTATAAAAAGGCATTTTTGATACATGAGCAGTGCAAAGACATTTCAGTAATTACAATTCATCCATAAGTAGTTTACCATAACCTCAAAAATATATTTACATATAGTCAAGAGACATAAATGATCTAGGGATGAAGTATTCATTTGCTTTGGGTGCCTGGTAAATTTCAAATTCTACATTAGAAAGAATGACTGTCACAAAGATGAAGAATCAAGCTGAAAGAAGTACTAATTATGACACTTCTATGAGACTTAAACCAATCTGTGAGTTTTTTTTTCACATTTCACGTTTTGAACTTCCAGATTTAAGCCAGGCTCAAGAAAGAAAAATGGAATTAGAATGAGAAGATTACACTTTGGAAGGGTATATGAGTTGTGTGTTTGTTATCACTGTGTCTTTGAATATTTATGTGGAATTCACATGAGTTTGTGATGAAGATATTCACATATCTTCATCAAGAAATATTATTTATTATTTTCAGAATCCTTTAGTTACCTAGGTTCTTTATCTTTTCATATGTATATCAGGAGTCAATTATTTAATGGAAAAAGAAATCCTCACTTGTTTTAAAACCACTGTCTTGGGGCTACTGGTGGTGTAGTCGGTTGGCTGTCTGACTCTTGGTTTTGGCTCAGGTTGAGCCCTGTGCTGGGCTCTGTGCTCAGCTTGGAGTCTGCTTGGGATTCTCTCTCCTTTCTCTTTCTGCCCCTCCCCCCATTCTCTCTCTTTCTCAAATAAATAAATAAATCTTAAAAAACAAAATAAAACACTGTCTTACACAATTTTCTATAATCATAGGTTGTTTTATCTGTGGAAGATTAACCCTTCCCTGGAAGAATAAGCTATAAGAAATGATCTGCTTAATGGGTGACCACAACTTGGATGCCCTGTTGGTGACCAAATCTTAGTAGTCTTAGACTAAATCCATCATTTTTCCATGTCAAGCTAGCTTCTCTTCTCTTGGCTATTTTGGTGAACTGATGTCTCTATGCAGTTAGCAGCCAGGAATGTGGAGGTATTCTAGACCCTCTGTTCTTTTGTTTTACTCATAGTTTTTCACCAAATCATATAAGTTGCATATTCTTACCTATTATGAATTTGTCCCCTCCTACCCACCCCTATTGTAGAATTTTTGTCAATACCCTCATCATCTCTTTGGGCTAATGCAATGCTCCTCTAATCACCCATCTGTCATTCTACTGCCTTGCATAATGGCTCCATGCCATCAGCTGATAAATTAGAAAATCATTAAATTGTCCATAAACTGTCCTTAAGATCCTATTATAACAGCCCCTGCTTGCCCCTTTCGTCTGGTCTCTTTACAGGCCTTGAACCCTAATTGTAGCCATTCCAAATTTCATACAGTTTTCAAATCACAGCAGGCTTTTTCCTAACTGCTTCTATTCATGGTGTTTTTTGCTGAAAGTTATCCCCACTCCCACCTTCCTTCACCGTGCATCTTTCCTAGCTGGCATACTCATTTTTCAATATTCAGATCAAATAGGTAAAATTGATAACTTTCTTTTGTGCCCTATATACACATAGGTCTTTCGCAGTAGCTATGACACTTTATTAACACATGTCTGTTTACTTGTCTATTTTGCCATGATACAATGAAAGCTGCTCAAGTATAGACCTTCTACTTTATTCATCTTTGTATCTTCAGAAAACTGCAAAGTTTTAGAAAAAGAGTTTATGGTTAATAGATGCTTGTGGAATTGACAGGTGAAATAACAAAAGTTAATACCTGGGTTTTCAGTAGGGATTTCAGGTGGAAGTCATATTTTTTGATTACTGTTGAGAGGCACTGTCTGGAAAGAAAAAAAAACAACTTTGTTTAAAAGTGGGTAGGAAAACTTATATTAACTTTAGCATATTTATCGTAAGCTCTGTTTTGTCCATGATTCTATAGCAGACATGGCTAAAAAAGGGTTGCTATTGACACAATTTTAAAAACCATTTCAGATGAATGTTTATAAGTTTTGTGTAACTTGATAGGCTACAAACATGTTTGAAAACCTTAGAACTCCAAAAAAAGTCCATGACAAATTAACCAAACCTCTTAAAGACTGTTTATTGTATCAAACTACTCTTAATTCAAAATGTAACTTACAAAAGGATTCATGAGCAGATAATGACAAATACTAACATCAAGAATTGTTAAATATGCAAAATCTTGAAGAGAACTGCTTTCAGAATTAATGACATATATTTATAATAGATAAGGTTGTCTTTGACATCAAACCTCTGTCTTGTTCTTTCCTGAGCTACTCTTATTGCTCCAACTTTGTCTATGCTTCGGTGGAATAGGTGTGAGATTAGTAGAGGTTCTTTTGACTTCACTTATCAAAATTGTTTTCCTAAACATTATGACTTTCCCTTCCTATTTGTCCTAAAAACTCCTGAATTGAATTGAACAAATCATACAACACAAAAACATTGCTAAAATGCACCAATATATTTTATAATAGCTGCCTTCTCAGCCTTTATTAAATCATCACTTTAGTTGCATTACATATAACAGTTCAAAGACAAAATTCACAGACTATGTAAAAAGTCAGTGGAGGTATAGGAAAAGAATAGTGAAAAATTTTGGTTATTGGAGGGAAGGTTTTTATATAAAATCTGACCCTAACACTTAAAATACCCTCAAGAATATATACCTAGTTCAGCACCTTACTATTAAATATTATATTTATTTTATAGAAAAACTCCTAGAAACTAATGAAGGTATGTGATTTGCCCAACTTCTAAAAGGAAGTCAGGAAGAGGAAAACTGAAAACAAAGCTCCTGCCATCTAGTGTTTGATCTTTTAATGACACCATAAAGTATGAGGAGCGCAGGCAGAATAGCAATAGCCTTGTATTTCAGAAAGCAAAGTCTTGGAGGTCACCAAGATGGCAAAGTAGGAGATCCCAGCCTCTGTCTTCCCACAGTTAGACAACTACCCATGAACAAGAACAGCTCTGGGAGAGTTTAGGAATCCTTCTAAGAAACTTCCACAACACTGTAGAACAACAACAACTAGAAAACCTGAAAATAACCACACAAAAAGGGAAGAGCAGGCAGTTTCATTTTGCCTGCCTCATCCCATCCTGCAGGCCTGCATTGCTCACTGCCAAGAGGGAAACACTCCCGCTGGGAAAGGGAGAGTGGTGAGCCAGCAGCCAGCCTTTTGGGCCACTACAAGAAGGACCTGCATTGGTTTTACTCCACGCAGAGACCGCAAAGCTGAGATGCATAAAGACAGCTAGGAACAAGGAAGAAGGGCTGGGGCTACCAGTATCAGTCACACGGTGGGAGTTACTATGGTTCCCAGTGACCTGCTCTGCAGAGGGCCCCAGTAGTTTTTACCACTGAAGAAACCAACCAACATAGCAACTGCAGATTTGCAGTTGCAAATTGCAACCTCCCCTGCAAATTTCACTGTTTCCCCCAACACACAGGTATTCACATTCACAAACAGCAGCTGCTTGAGTCCCTCTCCACTCCCTTTGTCTCCCCACTGCCATCCCAGGGCTCACCTGTAGCTGGTTCCCAAGCTGTGCACCTGCAAGCCCTTGGCCTGAATTCTGTACTGGCCTTCACAGCTATGCATATGTCTTAGGGAGACACTGCAGTCACAGGAATGCACACTGACAGCCAGGGTCCCCACAGCTATTGGTGGGCCTGGTCCTGGTCCTGTTTCCTGTCATTGACTCACACAGTTGGGCTTGCTTGCAGCCAGCCCCTCCAGCTGTGTACCTGCATCTAACCAGCCTGACTCCCATAACAGCCTCCACTGCTGTGCACATGACCAAGGTCTGCAGCCACAGGAGTGCATGCCAACAGCCAGGGTCCTCACAGTGCCAATGCACCTACAGTTAGTCCTAGTCCTTGCTGCCAGCCTTGCCCTCCCCCACTATATGTATGTCTGCAACCAGCCCCTACCACTACACAGGCACCTGCAGCTGGCCCCTGCAACTGTGTGTATGCATAACACCAGCTCTAGCAACAACCACTTCCTGTCCTGGTCCCTAGGTACTAGACCTGGAGGCACCACTGAAGATACCAACAGCACGTGCAGCCATTTCAAGGACCCTAGCACTTCAAAGGACCACAGAGTTAATGTTGTGGGCCCCAGTGGCCTGACCTGAGGAGACATCACACTCACCAGATCTGGGTCTTCCACATGACTCTGCACTTGGTGCCCTGCACCACTAGACTGAGGGTCATAGCATGCTCCATTGTGCCTCACCTACAGGTGAAGGTCCTTTACTGAGATCAGCCCATAAAGTCTGGAAGATGTGACTGCTTCTTCCCGTGCACAGACACCTATGCAAGGCTCCAGGGATCACAAAGAGTCAGGGAAATATGACTCTACCAAAGGAACACAGTAAACTTATAGCAACTGACCTCAAAGAAATGAAGATACATGAATGGCCTGACAAAAATTTAAAACAATTGTTCTAAAGATACTCAGAAATAGAAGACAGAGAGACAATTTAATGAAATCAGCAACACAATATAAGAACAAAATGAGAACTTCACCGAAGGTATAGAAAAGATAAAAAAGAACCAGAAGGTTTGGAGCTAAAGAATACAGTGTTGAACTGAAGAATTCAATAAAGAGCTTCGGCAGAAGGGACCAAGCAGAAGAAAAAATCAGTAAGCTCAAAGACAAATTATTTGAAATTACTTAAGCAGAGGAACAAAAAGAAAAAAAAAAGGAATTAAGAAGGCCTATGGAATTCATGGGACACCATAAAAAGAAACGATATACATGTCACTGGAGTCCCAGATGGAGAAAAGAGTGAGCAGAAAGTTTATTTGAAGATAATGGCTTTTGAACTTCCCAAACCTGGGGAGAGATTTGGACATCCAAGTTCATTTAATAATAGTTTATCTCATAATTTCAGTCCAAAATGATTTCTCCAAGACACATAACAATAATAAAACTGTCTAAAAGCAAAAACAAAGAGAGAATTTCAAAGGTAGCAAGAGAGAATCCTCTTAAAAGAGAACCACCATAAAGCTATCAGTGGATTTGTCAGCAGAAATCCTACAGTCTAGGAGAGAGTAGGATGATAAATTTAAGTTGCTGAAAGAAAAAACGAAAACAAAAATAACCCCTGCCACCCAAGAATACTTTACCTAGCAAAACTGTCCTTCAGAAATGAAGGTGAGTTAAAGACTTTCACAAATAAAGGCAAAGGGAATTCTTTGCCTTAAGACCTGCCTTGGAAGAAATGCTAGTTCTTCGAGCTGAAATGAAAAGATACTAATTAGTAACAGGAAAATATGAAAATATGCAATACACCTTTCTGGAAAGGTAAGTATATAGTTGGATTCACAATACTGTAATAGTGATGTGTCAATCACTTAACGCTAGTATAGAGGTTAAAGGGAAAAAGTATTAAAAATAGTGATAGCTGTAATAATTGTCAATGGATATATGATATAAAGAGATATAAATTCTGACATCAAAAGCATAAGATTTTGGGGCAGAGTAAAAAGTAGAGTTTTTATGCAAATAAGGTTAAATTGTTATCAGCTTAAAAGAATTTTATATCTGTAACATATTTCAAGTAAATCTCAGAGTAAACACAAAACAAAAACCTATCACGGATACTCAAAAGGTAAAGAGAAGGGAATCAAACTATACTTCTATGGCAAATCAGCAATTCAGGAAGAAAGGCAGGAAGGGTGGGAGGGAGGGAGGAAGGAAGGAAGGAAGGAAGGACAAAACAGCCAGAAAACAATTAAGAAGATGTCAATTTTAAGTCATTATCTATCAGTAATTACTTTAAGTGTAAAGTTTTCCCTCTCCCTCTGCCCCTCCCTCCTGCTCATGCTGTCTCTGTTTCTGTCTCTCTCAGATAAATAAATAAAATCTTAAAAAAAAAAAAGGTGTGGGGTGCCTGGGCAGAAGCATCTGCCTTCTGCTCAGGTCATGGTCCCAGGGTCCCGGAATTGAGCCCCGCATCCGGCTCCCTGCTCCCTCCTCTGTGGGAGCCCTGCTTCTCCCTCTCCCACTCCCCCTACTTGTGTTCCCTCTCTCGCTGTGTCTCTCTCTGTCAAATAAATAAATAAAATCTTTAAAAAAAATAAATAAATGTAAAATTTTTCAGTCAAAAGGCAAAGAGTGGTTGAGTGAATAAAGGCACAGCTATATACTGCCTGCAAGAGACTCCCTTCAGCTTCAAGGACACACACATTCACAGTGAAGGGATAGAAAAAGGTACTTCATGCATATAGAGACCTAAAATGAGTAGAGGTAGCTATACTTATATTACACAAAATAGGCTTTAATTTAAAAGCTGTTATAAGGGGCACCTGGGTGACTCAGTCATTTGTCTGTGTTCAGCTCAGGTCATGAGCCCAGGATCCTGGGATCAAGACTTGTATCTGGCTCCCTGCTCAGTGGGGAGTCAGCTTGTCTCTCTCCCTCTGCCCCTCCCCCCACTTCTCTCTCTCTCTCTCTCTCTCTCTCTCAAATAAATAAATAAAATCTTTAAAAAAAAGCTGCTAAAAGAAACAAAGAAGGAGCAAAAGGACTACTATGACAATTATATACCAAAAAATTGGACAACCTAGAATACTGGATAAATTCCTAGAAAATACTGCCTACCAAGACTGAATCAGAAAGAAATAGAAAATCTGAATCGACCAATAAGAAGATTAAATTGGTAATCAAAAACCTCCCAAAAAAGAAAAATTCAGGGGCAAATGGCTTCATTGATAAATCCTACCAAATTTTTAAAGACAAATTAATGTCAGTTCTTCTCAAACTCTTCCAAAAACTTGAAGAGGTGGGGACACTCCCAAACTCATTATATGAAGCCAGAATTACCCTGATGCCAGAGCCAGAGAAGGACACTACAAGAAAAGAAAACTATAGGCCAATATCCCTGATGATTATAGATGCAAAATTTCCCAACAAAATACTTGCAAACCAAATTCAACAGCACATTAAAAGGATTATATACACCATGACCGAGAAAATTTATCCCTGGGATGCAAGGATGATTTAACTACACAAATCAATAAATGTGATAAAGCATATTAATAAAATGAAAGACAGAAATCATTGATTATCTCAATAGAAGCAGAAAAAGCATTTGGAAAAATGTAACATCTCATAAAAACTTTCAACAAATTGGGTATGGAAAAACATATCTCAACATAATAGAGTTCATGTATGACAACCTAGAGCTATCATCATACCAGTGGTAAGATGTTGGAAGTACTTCCTCTAAAATCAGGAACAAAATAAGGGTTCCCACACTCACCATTCCTATTCAACATTGTACTAGAAGTCTTAGAGTAATCAGAGAAGAAAATGAAATAAAAGGCATTCAGACTGGAAAGGAGAAGTAAAATTGTGTCTGTTTGATGATGATACAATCTTGTATGGAGAAAATCCTGAAGACTCCACCAAAATACTCAGAACTAATAAATGAATTCTGTAAAGTCTCAGGATGCAAGATAAATATATACAAATCAGTTGGGTTTCTATACACTGACAATGAAAGTTTTGGAAACTTAAGAAAAAAATCCCACTTACAAAGGCATAAAAAAATACTTAGGAATAAATTAAACCAAAGAAGTGGAAGATCTATACACTGAAAACTATAACACACTGTTTCTCTGTGTCCCAGGCAGCAGCTGTCTACATGTAAGTCACAACCCTCCACTAAACTCATTCAAAACAATCCTTTGTCTCCCAAAGATTTCTCTCTTTTTAAAGAATTTGTCAGATTTGATGTCTCTCTCTACAGTTTTTTTTTGATAAATTTATTTTGGAATAAGGAAACTATAGCCTTTATTAATATGTCATTTTGATGGGAGCCTATCCCTGATCCATGTAATTAGCTATAAAATAAAAATTTGGGTTAGATTATATTGAAAGTCTTCCCTAGTCCTACCCATTCTGTGATTTTTATTGTTGAGGACGAATATTTTGGGGGAAATAAAGACAGGCACATATGGAAAGACACAGTAGTTTAATAAAAAAAAATATGGTCCTTGTAAATTTCAGACAGTTGGTTTTTGCAAGTTTCAGGCAGACCTAATTTTGGTCCTACCAAGAATGAACTGAGTGGCCTTAGGCAAGGTATTTAGTCTTCTAGAACTTTAGTTTCTTTGATTCTGAAGTAAATTCTGTGTCTTATCACAGGGTTGTAGGAAAAATTAGATGAGATAATGTATGCCAAATGTACAATAACTCCGCTAAAGTGATTGATAGCTATTATGAATAGTCACTAAAAACAATTTTAACTCGTATTTTTATACTGGGGTTTGCTTCAGAGATTAATGATATATACGTCCTATACCTCAATTTTTGCTCATTCAGCTCAGAACAATTTTAATTCCAGATAAACCCATAGTGTAGCACCGATATCTTCTCCCAGTTTAGCTTCTTGATGGATCTATTTTTCAAATAATACACGTATACATTTAGATATCAGAATCAATTAGGATATGTTCATTTATTGTCATTTGAGTTTTCCAATTTGAATTCACACTCCTCTGTTTATGATATACCATTTATTTTTATGGAGTTCAAGAAGGAAATTTAAAGCAGGAGGTTTTGACTTTCAAAGTTTGGAAATTCAGTTATACAAAGAGCTTAGTGACACATGCACACTCAAATTCACAAAATGAATGAGAAAAAAAATCCTTGAAAACGTAATAACTGGTAGCAGAGAGATTTTAAAATGAATGTTAGATTGTTCTGGAAGGTGTTAGCAGCTCTTCAAATGTATCTGAATAGCTGTGAAGAATAGATAATTATTAACAAAATTTGCCAAAGGGAGGTATCTATTAAAAGTACAGTAGCTTCCACGGTACTAGTGAAAGGACAGTTTTTACAATCAACTGAAAAATATTGTGATTTGGCACTTGGGAACTCAGTCAGAAACTAGTCTTGGAACAAAATAAAATATCTTACCTGGATACTTTCCAAATATGCATAAATTCTAGAAGTTGGTTCAGATAAAACTGACTGTGGTCATCTTCATGCTGTAGACAGCAGAATATATTAATATTTATAGAGTGAATAGACATGAGTACCAGATAAAAATAGGTCTGTAACTTCCTGCTGTCATTTTATTCACCTCTTTTGATAACCCTCATTCATCATTTTAATACTTTGTTTTAAAGACTTTACAACACTCTTCTTAACTCTGTAAGCACTCTTTTCAAAAAGTGAATCAGAAAACTGGGCTTTGGTTGAGGGTAAACCTCAAGGACAATTTGAAAAACATCCTGGAAGCACCAAGGTCAAACATTAAGTTCTCCTAACAGGAAGGCAGTTTGGCAGACACTAGTTCTCTCACATACATGAACAGTTTCTTTGCATTTAGGCTGTGGATGCCATGGCAGTATGAGACTTGACAGCTTGCCAGATCGGCTGGCAGACTCAGAATGAACTCCATTTTTCAACTTTACCACATCTTGCCTCCCAAATATTAGTGTAAGAGGAGTTATCAGGAGGCATGTGTTTTCTCTCAAGATGAGCAGAAACTACTCATCATAAAATATCAGTCCTGCGGTCCATATGCATAAACACACAAACACACACGCATACACACACACACACACACACACACACACACACACACACACACACACCCCATAACTCCTCGATTAGCTCTTCTGCAACAGGCAGTCATGAAAATTCTATGCAAGTCTGCAAGGGAGAATGCAATATACTCCCTCATAATGGCACTATTTCACTATGCACAGCTGTTAAGTTTGAGAGCTGAGCGAGTCCCTAAATGCCTGGAGTACATGTAATCTTGTATGTTAATATACTATCTATTCTTAAAACTGCCTATTAGAACTCCTGACAGAGAACATCAGAAGGAAAACCTTATATGGCCTAAGGTCAAAGGTATATTAATATTTTTATTGGGTGGTTTTGTGAGGAAGAGTAAGGAAACTGTTACATGGAGAAAATAAGGCCATCCCTATAATACAATACTTTGAATGCATGCTATAAAAAAGAAACACTTTCAGAAGAAGAAAAGAAACCTCTTTCTGAAGTTAAAACCAAAGCAAGCATATAAATAATGACTTATTTGCATCTTTCTATATAGCATAATCATATTCATTTTAAAACCACTTTCCTTGGCTTCCAGAGATGCTTTTGGGGGAGAAATTGGCCTTTGTCATATTGTCACTTACAAGAAAATTATTTTTATTTAAAGGAGCTCAAAAGTCTGGAGAACAGATTTGAGCAGTTGTCCATGGACTATATTGTACACTTTACTTTTCTCCAAAGCTGAAGACCATCCATCCTTTCATCTTAAGGAGAAAGTTAAGGTGTCTTTTTCATACAAAAATCTACTGCTGTATGTGTTCTGTGAATGTTTCCTTGAGCTAGAATGAAATCTTGATTTTATGATTAATATCAACAATGTTGGCAATACTTATCAAATTTGAGAGAGATAAAGAGAGAACAATTTTTTTTATAAAAGACTCAGTTACACATCTAATCAGGATGGGGATTGTAAAATTTTGAAATCTAGAAAGATTTCTAAGGGCTGTCAACGTATTTTATGAATAATCTCATGGAACAAGAATTAAATTACCATATTTCAGTATAACACAAGCAAATTTAAAATAGGAAAGACATCTGAGATGAATTGAGCTTTGCAATATGCTTGTAGAATTAGAGAACTCTAAAGTATCTACTGTAAGGCAATGGTGTCAATAAATTTAATGGAATGATAATCATTATGTTCCTAGTATTATATAGAAAGAATACCATAAACCATTTTATGTTATTTTACTGGAAAGAAAATATAATTGTTTATAAATGTTTTTATACAGCAAAAATTATGAAAATCATAGATCATTTTGACACCACATTAAACAATAGAATCAAGAGAGGAGACCATTCAGTATCTCCTTACTGTATAGAGTTTTTAATAGTAAAAGGCTAAAATACCATCTAGTCTAACACCCTAAGTTTATTACATCAATAACTGATACTTATGTAGTCCTGATTAGGCACAGGCACTGATTTAAGCTCTTCATTTACATTTCTCAATTAAGTTCTAATAATAACCATATTAGGTATGTATTATTATTCACATTTTTTAAACCAGAAAACTAGGGTGAATATAAACATTTGTCCAAGAGCAGACATTTGAATTTGGCAGTACAAATCCAGAATCTGTTTTTAAACAAGTTGCCAAATCAGTAAATTTAACACTCTTTATTTTTTAAGCTGAAAACTAGATCTATATGCTCTAGGATTTATACATAAAAATAATCACCACAGCTAGTCCTTCATATTCATCTGTATCAGGTTTTCTTACTCTAGGCTTTAGAAGCATAGTTATCTTTTCTTTCAAAGCACATATCTCTATCAGACTTTTTTAAAAAATTATTTTATTTTACTTTAGAGAGAGAGAGAATGCATGTGAACATGTGCACGAGTGGAGGAAGGGGCAGAGGGAGGGAATCTTCAAGCAGACCCCCTGCTGAGGCTAGAGCCCTTTGTGGAGTTTGATCCAATGACCCATGAGATCATGACCTGAGCCAAAACCAACAGTTGGATACTCAACTGACTGAGCCACCCAGATGCCCCTAAGTCTATCAGACTTTTAAATGCATATTTGTTTATTGCATGTCTTCTTCACTAGGATGAGAATTCTGCATTCTAGAATAAGTAATGAGATGTCTTGTTTGGCTCTGTATCTCCAGTGTTTAGAAGAGTGCCTGGTATATGGTAGGTGCTCAATTACCATTTGTTCAATGAACAAATAAGTATCAATCTGCGTATATATGTTTTCATTCATAATTCTGAATTTTAAGTAGGTTCACTATTCTATTCCTTCACATATGAGATCCTCAAAGGCAAGTACTAAATATGGCATGTAAAAAGTATTTAAGAAATATTTATTGAATTAATTATTTTCAGATTATATATGTAATGTACTTAGCATGATATCTGAAAGTAAATCCTCATAGATTTTAATAAAATGTAATATCTTCTCTTTGGAATATGATGCTAAAGAAAAAATCCTTCAAGAACCAGGATTTTGGGAGATGGAAACATGGAATGCCTTTCTAATAGTCTATATGGAGGCCACCACTACCCTTTAACTGAGTCAGAGCTGGCTGAATGAGGCTGGGATTTTGTTGATTTTGTTCAGTACTCTAACTAACATTAGAGTAGGGCCTAGTACACAGCAGTTACATAGTTAATAGTTTGAGTGAATAGAGAATGTATAAACATCTGTGTCATCAAGGGTATTAGCTATTTTTAAATAACAGTGTTAGTGCTAGGAAAAGTTGTGGATGAGAAAAAGCATTTATACTCTTTACCTGTAAACTGTTGAATTAGAGATGGTGATATTCACTGTAGGAAGTAAAGTTTGTGAGTTGAAGCATAAAAAAGGCAGCCATGTAACTTACTTCCTGCTATGATCCAAATGACACATTGAAAAGCAGGCATTTCTAGTGACAGTTATACACTTTACACCCAGAAATGATTATATGCTTGTCCCAACAACATATGACAACACCCCAAAGATACTTATTGGCTGGCATTATGATATAGTGAGCTCTGTCACCAGACTAGCTTTGCTCAAATCCCATCTCCCTTATTTACTAGCTGTGAGACTTTGGGCCATTCAGTTACTCTTGAATTTTCAGTACTTTATTTAAAAAAGGAAAATAATAGTAATTATCCCTTTTTTTTTTTTGCTCTTGAGCTGTTGTGAGTTAATACATGTAAATACCTATGATGTCCCAGACTTTGGGGAAAGTGGAATAGCTGTGGAAAACAAAACAAGGGGCACCTGGATGGCTCAGTCGGCTAAATGTCTGACTCGATTTCGGCTCGGGTCATGATCTCAGGGTCTTGAGATCAAGCCCCAGGTCAGGCTCAGTGTTGGGAGTGGAGCCTGTTTAAGATTCTCTCTCTTCCTCTCTCTTTGCCCCTCCCCCACTCTCTCTCTAAAATAGCAAACAAAAAGAATATATATATATATGGCTAGAATTTTTACCAGCTGTGCTGAAAGTCACATCTAAACCTTTTGCGTTCAGTCACCTCTAAATCTTAAGTGTACTTGTCATATAACTTGATAGCATAAAGTATGGGCTATGGAGACTGACTGGGTTCAAACCCAAGCTCCTCTGCTTGCTTACTAGTCCCATGAATATGATCTGGGGAAAGTTATGGAGCTCCCTGTGATTCACTTTCGTTATTTTTAATAGTATTTGCTGCATAGAATTATTGTGAAGTTTAAATATAATAGAAATGTGAATTCCCAGACATAAAATATATGTCAGTACACATTGTATCCGAGTAGTGGTGTTAAATGGATTTAAGTATAAACCTTAGTTTACATGAAACTGAAATCTTAGTGATTTGTGAATTACTCCCAATGAGATGTTATTTTTTAGCAACATGAAAGTTCTCAAGGAGAACAGAAATTCTAATCATACATTTTCTCATCTTGCCCCATGTTGAAATGAAACATGATGATTTCAGCTTTTTCAAAACATTGAGGACAATTTGAAGACTCTTAGGATATATTAATTTTAAGAGTATTAGTTGTACTTTATAATGTTTCTCTGTGGAGATTTCAGATGCATAGCTCTGGAGCTGTCAACACTGGCTGAGTTGAGTACCAGTTCCAAAAGATTTTTCTAAACAACTCTCTTTTGGCCTCGTTATGTTATATTCCACATAGATATATTGCAACCTAATGCACTACCTAACACTTTTTATGATGAAACACCTCAAACTAGAAAAAAAAGAAAAACAGTCATGCACTGGAAATCTGTTATCTGATGTAAATGACAGGGTGAATGGGATTTTTGCTTAAAGCAGGTAATTGGAAGCTTCTACAGATAAAGCTGCCAAAATATCAAAGTTCATTGCATACTGTGCAATTTGGGTTTGAAATAACTCAAGACATCACATAGGGAATAAAATTCATATCTAACAGCATGAAATTGTGTCATTAAAGCAGAGTAATCCCTTTTGAGGTAGTTTTATTATATATATTATGAATATTAATCTGTCCTGATTTAAATTATGTCGATACCGACATAAACAGTCTTCAGATAGAATGAGAGGTGTGTTATTTTTCTTTCTTCAGTGGTTTCCCCTTCACATTTTTTATTCTGTTCACTTCCTAGTGGCTTCATGGATAGTATGAATGTAATAACTTTAATAAGTTTCTCATAAATGATTTTTCCAAGAGGCCAATTGATTTGCTATTATACTAAGGTTGCAGTAATGTGTTCATGTAATTGCTTCAGTCCAAATTGTTAACAGGCATTTAGATAAATATTTCATTATGTTTCAGTAAATATACTCAAATGAACATGTATTCATTAAGCTCTGTAATTCCAAATTGGCAACAATCCATAAAGATAGGAATATTGTCCTTAAAATGATCAGCTTGAAAATTGAGACTAATGCTAAGAAAAATCTTACCTTTCGACATAACTTTCCTGGAACTTTCCCATTTTTCTGCAGATTGAGTTGAATAACAGATTTATCTTTCTGAAATATTTTGTGGCTCCCCAAAGAAAAATCACTAAAGGAGAAAAAAAATGAATACAGTCATTTCCTCCCATAAAACCCCCAAGTGTATGTTTTCCTCTCTCAGTTTCTTTTCTTTTCTTTTGGAACTTAGTCTGGTAAAAGTTTTATATAAAGCCTTAGTTTTATACATTTATTTAAAAATATATCCTCATATTCATTTTTAAATGACAATTTAAAATATTAGTTATTAAGCTATTACAATTATTTTTAAAGTACACCAAGTTAGAAAATGATTAGATACCTTTAGAATGGACATAAATTATAATAAAGAATATTTTACATATTCAGAGTTAGTTTTATCTGGCCATCTCAAAGCTGAGGACAACATGCTTCTGGGAGGTCTAACTGGTGCCACAAAGTATATGTTGAGACCATGTGGAGCAGTGAGGTAGAAATGTCATAGGCTTTAGAGACAGATATACTAGCTCCATGATAAGCAGGCCATTTAAACTATCTGAAACTCAATATATATTTTTAGAATTGATATTATTAATATCTACATCAAAGGGTTGATGAGAGAATTAAACAGAAAAAAATCCCTACATATTTCAGAAATTTCTAATGGCATAATTTTTCTTTCTTTCTTCCTCCATCCCTCCCTCCTTTCTTTCTTTCCTTTCCTTTCCTTCCTTCTTCCTTCCTTCCTTCCTTCCTTCCTTCCTTCCTTCCTTCCTTCCTTCCTTCCTTCCTTC